GACTGTAGGAGATATAATATTCAGTCTTCATACTTGAGTATTAATGTGAGCTGCAAGTTTTCCAGATGCCTTTTATCAGGCTGAGAAAGTTTTCTTCTTATTCCTAGTTGGCTAAAATTTTCATTACAAATAGGTGTTCTAGAATGCTGAATAACTTTTTCTGTGCCAACTGAGATGTCAATGTTTTTTTTCTTCTTTTTAATGTGAAGATGATGAATTACAGATTGATTTTTTCAAACGTTAGGTTGACCCTGCATTTCCAGTATAAACTGCATATAGTCATGATATATTATCTTTTTCATAAATTACTACATTTGACCTTAAAATTTTTTTCTGTTTATGAGGTAATCTTTAAGATTCTTCTTTTAATAATGCCTGTATAATTTTGTTATCAAGGTAATGAGAGCCTTGTAAAATCAGTTGAGAAGTATTACTTCCACTTCTATTTTCTGGAAAATTGTGAGCACTATTGATTTCTTTTATTAATACCTGTTAGAATTTCCATTGACACCATTTGGGTACCTGAAGTTTTCTTTGTGGGAAGGTTTTAAACTCAATTTCTTTAAAATATATAAAGCTATTAATTTACCTATTTCTTTCTGAATGAGCTTTGAGTTGTCTATGCCTTTTAGAGAATTTGTTCATATCATCTAAGTTGTTGAATTTATAGGCATAAAGTTGCTCATATATTTTTTATTATTCTTTTAATTTCTGTAAAATCTGTCAATGATGCCCTTTTAATTTCATTCCTGATAAGGATAATTGTATCTTTTATCAAACTTCTTTTAACATAACCATTTTATGCTCTAAATTTCTTCTAAGTGTTGTGTCCCACACATCAATACACTGTATTTATTTTCATCAAGTTACAAATTTGTTCTAAGGGCTGAGGTTGTAGCCCAATCCTCATTGCTTAGCACATGTGAGGCACTGGGTTCGATCCTCAGCACCACAAAATAAATAAATAAAGATAGTGTGTCCATCTACAACTAAAAAGTACTTTTTAAATTATGTTCTATTTTCTCTTGAGATTTTTTTGGAGGGTAACAGGGATTGAAATCAAGGGTACTTGACCACTGAGCCATATCCCCAGCCCTATTTTTTGTATTTTATTTAAAGACAGGATCTCACTTGAGTTACTTAGTGCTTTCATTTGTTGAGGCTGGCTTTTAACCCCAAATCCTCCTGTCTCAGCTTCTCAAGCTGCTGGGATTATAGGCATGTGCCACTGTGCCCAGCTTGAGATTTCTTCATTAAACAATGAAGTTATCTCATTTAATTTCCAAATATTTGGGAACTTCTGTTGTGCTGGGTTTTTCTTTCTATCATGGTGGGAATTTTTTTGTTTGTTTGTGTTGTTTTGTTTTAGGAGATGAGGTCATTGCCCACATTAGTCTCCAAATCCTGGGCTTAAGCAATCCTCAGTCTCAGCCTCAGCCTCCTACATATTTGGTTCTACAGACTCACACTACCACATCCAACTTATTCTAGGATTTCTAAGACTTATTTCTGGTATTTATTTCAACTATATTTGAATAACATATTTTGCAATATTTCAAATGTCTATATATATTAAGACCTTTCTTTGTGGCCCAGAATACGTTCTATCGGTGAACATGAATTCAGTGCATTTGAATGCTTTAAGGGAATATGCATTCTGTAGCTAATAGATAAAATGTACCATACATTTTAATGAGGGTGAGTTGGTTGGTAATATTGTTCATGTATTTCTGCATCCTTACTGATTTTCTACTTATGTAAAAACTTCAGAATGCTGAGCAGAGACATGGTGAGGCACGCCTATAAGGCTAGCCTCCGCAACTTAGTAAGACCTTGTCTCAAAAAAACAACAAAAAGGGCTGAAGGTGTACTTCAATGGTAAAAGTACACCTGGGTTAAATCTCTAATAACAAACAAAACAAAACTTTAGAATGCTGAAATCTAACTAAAGCTATGATTTGTATTTTTCCCTTCCAGTTTTTCTATTTTTGCTTTTCAAAGCTCTATTATTAAGTGTATACATATTTGATTGTTATGCTCTCTTAATAAGATAATTCATTTGTTTTTATAAAATGTCCATCTTTATTGAAGGTAATATTCCTTGCTCTGAAATCAATTTTGTCTGATATTAATATAGCCAAGCCAGCCTTCTTTTGATAAATGTTTTTTCACCTTTACCCAAAATGTTCTTACATTTAAAGTGGGTTTCTTGTAAAGAGTATGTAATGTTTGGATCTTTTCTTTATCTAACCTCTTGATCTCTGTCTTTAAATTCAGTCTGTTTAAACATTTTACATTTAGTGCATTTTTTTTAAAGTACTAAAGACTGAAACTGGGGATACTCTATATCAATGATCTATAGTCCAGTGCTTTTTATTTTATTTTAAGACAGGGTCTTAATAAGTTGTCCAGGATGGCCTCAAACCTGTTATCCTCAACTTAGACTTCAAAGTAGCTGGAATTCCAGTTTCTGTGCCACAGCACCTAGCCATTTAATGCAATTACTGATAGGCTAGGTTTTAATCTACCATCCTATATTCAAATTCTATTTGTCTCATCCAGTTTTTATTTCTTTTATTCCTGCCTTTATGACCCAAGTATTATTTATATTTCAATTTCCTGTCCTACAGTAGAGGTTTAGCTATATATTAGCTAATGTATACATTAATGTATAGCTAACCCTCTTTGTACTTATTGCTTGTTCTAAGGTTTACACTCTATCTCATACACACACACACACACACACACACACACACACACACACACAGTGTATGTTTATATACATAAGTATTGTATATGTTATATTAATCTATGTATTTATACAAACCATCTTTATTTCACTCTACCTTCAGAAAGTACACTACCTTATACTTTTATCAAAGTATAATTCATTTCTCCTTTCATAATTTATGCTAGTGAAGTCACTTTTATATTTGTTCTAAAAAATACATTGCTAGGGACTGCTGTAGTTGTAGCTCAGTGGTAGAGCATTTGCCTAGCATTTGTGAGGCCCTGGGTTCGATCCTCAACACCACATAAAAATTAATAAAATAGAGGATAAAAATACAATAACATTAAAAATACATTGCTATTTCATTATTTATTTGTCATTTTTAAAAGGATTAAAATATGAGGAAAATGTCTTTGTATTTAACTACATATTCACCATTTACTCTCCACTCCTTTTTCGTAGACCTGAGACTGCAGCAAGTATTACTTTTCTTCTGCCTGGAAAAGTTCCTTGTGAAATTACTTAGTATGTATCGGTTAGTCATGAATTCCTAGCTCCTCCCACTTTTTGGTCTATAATGGTCTTTAAAAAGGATATTTTTGCTAAGAAAAGAACTTTAAGTAGACATTTTACCCAATTTCTTTAAAAATGTGACTTAATATCTTTGGTTTGCATCTTTTTTTAAGTTGTTGATGGACACAGCCTCTGGTCAATAACCAATAAGGAAATTAAGGTTCTCAGGTCAACAATACATGATAAAATGATTCCTGCCAATGACCTGAAAGAAAATTCTCCCTCAGTCAAGCCTAGAGATAACTGTAGCCTCAGCTGATACCTTAATGGCAGCCATGTGAATGTCACTGAATCAGAAAGTTTAGCTACGCCATACAGAAAAATGAGAATATAATTAATGTTGCCTTATTTATTAAATTTTGGAATATCTTGTTAGATAGTAATAGATAATTAAACGTAGTTTCATCAACTGTGAAAACATTTTGGCCATTATTACATCAAATCTTTTTCTTTCATTCCATGTTTCCTGGGGACTCCAATTACACATATATTTATTAACACTATCTTCTGGGTGGTATGGCACACACCTGTAATCCCAGGGACCTGGGAGGCTTAGGGAGGAAGGCTACAAATTCAAGGCCAGCCTGGGTAACTCAGTAAAACTGTCTCAAATTTTTAAAATAAAAAGAACTAGGGATGTAGCTCAATGGTAAATCTCCTCTGGGTTCAATTCTGGTACCCGCCCCCCAAAAAAATTCTATCTGATTTTGTCCCACATATCTGTTGACCTATTTTTGTCTTCTATTTTTTCTATTTTTGCTTTTACTTTGTTTTTTTTCCCCTGTGCCTCATTTTGAATAGCTTCTATTGCCATAAAATCAAGGTTGCTGATCCTTTCTTCTGCAACATCATTTCAGATGTATAAAAGTTATACAATAAGTCCTACATTTTCTTCTTTCTGGGGTCAGAGTTTGTCACTGCCTGTTGTTGAATGTCTGAAAAACTTTTGTGAATTTTTTTTCCTGAATTCAGTTTAGGAAGTAATATAAATCTGATTACTATTTCTCCAACTTGTCCACAAGTGGAGCTCACTATTTCCTAATAAAAGCTCCCCAGGTAATTCTACTGTGCAGTTTATAGAGATATACTAGGTTAGTAGCTTTGATTTCTTTTACAGAAAATTTCCTTCCAAATAACACACATTTTTTATTTTCCAAGTGGATAAGATTTGGAAACATGTCCTAAGGTGCTATGTCATGGGTAGCTAATATACTCAGAGAAGCTTTCCACTAAAAGAAATGCCTGATACTACTATGCAAACAACCAAGAAACCATTATTTTTTCAAAGAATATTTCCTACATAGACATTAACTGAACTATCTGGTATAGGATGACTAAAAATAATGTTCTAAAAAGAATAATGATGTTCTAAAGCCATGAGGACAAAAATAACTAATAACTTGGAAAATAATCCTCTTCCTAGAGCATTTCAAAGGAAATAGAGAACCTCCCGCTGGTGACTTGTGTTTTATAGGATTCATTTGTGAAAAGCATTGCAATAGGAACAACAGATACCCATCAATTAAAAAAGTAATCAAATGTTCACAAAAATTTACTAATATTTAAACTGAATAGATCATACAAATAAACAAAAATTTTTCAGTAAAAAACAAATAAGATTATCTTCATTACCAGCAAATTTAATTTCTATTTAAAGATGTCTTCCCATCCCTCCACAGAGCCTTCTGAAACTTACCCTTTTCCAAGTAAGACCTTGGAGCCCATGGTGGGTCCTCTTCAGCATAAGGATCACTATACTCAACCACAGCTGCTTCCTCCTCTTCATAATCTTCTGGAGGAGGTGGTGGAGGGGGTGATTCATCAAAGACTGGTTCTTCCACAGGTGGTGGTGGAGGTGGTGTATCTGAAACTAAGAATGTATGAAGCTGACAACAAACTACACATTAAGCAGAGCTTCTAGATTCATGAAATATAAACCTAGACTTGAAAATAATAACCTATCAAAAAATAAGTGGAGAGAAGAAGTCTTGCCACTAAATATGTTCTAAATCTAGCATGCTGGTCTCCCTCCCCTTTGTGTTACTGCTGATGGATGATGAATAAAGTTTAACCCAAAAAATTACTAGTACCTGACCCTCTCTAACCTTCTTATGCTAATACATAATCTTATTTTCAAATGAATCAGTACAATATTGGTTTGGCTTTATACTATATTCAAGAAGGAGTTATTAGAAATATTAATCTGGACATTTAACCATATCTTTCTTATAACAAATTTAAATGAGCCCAAGGAATGGTCAAATTTTAATAATCTACATTCAATTATTTTTTAAAATAGCATTTTATTAAATTTGGGAAGAAAAATCAAACAATTTTGAGTAACTTCATCCATGAAGATGTTTTATTTGTTTAAAGAATTTCAACTGGTGTTGGGGTTGTGGCTCAGTGGTAAAAGCTCTTGCCTAGTATGTGTGAGGCACTGGGTTAAATTCTCAGCAATACATATAAATAAATAAATAAATAATAAAGTTCCATCAACAACTTAAAAAAATTTTAATTTAGAGAAAAAAAGAATTTCAACTAATTTATGATTTAGGTTAAATGTCTGAATGTACTTGGAGAGTAATTTAACTATCAAAAAAATCTAAAATCTATAGAGATCTGCTTTCACATCTCAGGTGTGAAACATCTAAAACTCAGAGAACTCAAAACTTTCAAAATGCTTGGTATATACTTGAGCACAATCCAACAAAATAAAATGAATAAACCTGCATTTGTCAGATGCCCAGTTTTAATAAACAGCACTAATTCTTATGAACTACCAAATTGAGTCCATTAAATTCTCTGAGCAATCCTGTTTATTCCTTATTCTTATCTAAGTCCATGAATGAATCAAATGGATTTTGTAAGATCATTTCTGGTGAGAATCAGCTTTAACAACAACCTACTCTGTCCTATTTCAGTATTCTTCCTGTCTATTATGCCCTCTGCACTTATCCTACTCTACAAACTTAAAAATGTACTTATTTTAAAATCCTTTAGTTGTATGATTTAATAATGAACAAAAGATATACATGTGATTTTAGCATATAGTTTATGAAAAATTATATAGGGATACATTGAGAAATAACAATATTCTCTATTTGTATTTCTAAGGTAAAGAGACTGATGCAAATAACTGTATAAAATCACAGATCCAAAGGAACTTTCAGGACAATCACCTTGAGAAATTGCACTACAAAATTATTCCTGACATGTGCTGTGCATATTCTGATTTTATTAAAATAAAAAAATTGAACTGCAAAAAAAAAAATTACTCCTGATGCTGTCATTGGCCATTTTTACTTTTCTTATAACTTCTTGAGAGCCAGTTTAATAAGACAACCAAAAGCTCCCATTTTTTACCTAAAATTGTTCAATTACTTGAGAATCTAGCACCTTATAATACATTATTTCATTTATCCTTTACCTTGGGAGATAGTGTTTTAAATCTTAATTTTATAGATGAGAAAACAGGATTTCCAAGATTAACTAGTCTCACAGAAGTAAGTGGAAGATCACCTGAATGTATTCATTCAGTAAACATCAAATGAGCGCCTACTATGACTAGGTATGATGCTCAGCACTAAGAAAAGTTTAGTGGGCAAAGTCATGGAGATATGGACAACGAAACTTTCATTTATAATGAAATCTAATAAGCGCTTTAAGATATTATAGGAACACTTTGCACAAACCAAATCTTTTATGTGAGTCAGGGAAGGCTTCCTCAGATCTGAAGGATAGTAATAAATGTCTGGGAAGTAGTATGCATCATGAATATTTCATCTTATATATAAAGAAAAAGATACACAGGAAACCTTCAAAGAACTATCCAAAGTTCAGCAGAAAGCATAGGAAGCTGAAGAGAACAAAGCAAGATGGGCCTTACAGCAGTTTGGACTTGCCCAAAGGGCAATGGGCAGCCACAGAAGGATTTTAAAAAGAATAACCGAATCATTACTGCACTTTTTACTCCAGCATAACTGGTTCACTATAACTGGTTCCAAGTAATTCCAGACTTCTTCCAAACATTACACTTGATGCATAGTAAATATTTTCTATCATAAAGCATCTTCAAAATAATATGCCTGAGAATTTTAAAGGTAATTCTAAAAGAAAGGTATATGTCTTTCCAAGGCAAATGCTTTGAAGAGGAGAACATACATTTGAATGTCTAAGTCCTGCCTTGTCTGTATATTAGTCATAACATACCTCGTATGAAAAAGTTTTTATTTTATACTTTGGTGTGTGAAAAATGTATATGACTACAGAAAGGGGTGTAAAAGACAGTCAGTCCCTGGGCTGGGATGTTGCTCAATATTAGAAGAGGCACCGAGTTCAAACCCCACCCAACACCTGAAAAGAAGAAAAAAAAAAAAAAAAGGAAGACTCCAAAAGGCAATTAATTGTGATAGTGTGACCTATTTAGGAACTGACTTTTTAAAATACAGGTAGTATTGTTACAATAATGTTTGAAAATCATCTATCATGTGCATCCAGAGGTTTGTTGATGAAAAATTTCAGTGTTTCTACAAACTTTCCAACTCTAATTACTGATGAAACCCAATGATGTCCTGTTTCATTAGCCATTCAACTTTCAAGCTTAGATTTTTTTAAAAGAAAATAATCCTTTAGTTTCTACAGAGACATTCCTGCCTAATTGATCATTAGTATTCAACACTGATATCAAGATCTGACCTTAACTCCAGAAACTGCTCAAACTACTTTGTTCTGAATGAGAACAGAACACCTTGTGAGGTAGAACACGTAGCAGCAACTGAACGGAATTCTTCAAAGTGCATGCTCATCATGATAATTTTTTAAAAAAGCAAAATTTCAAGATTCTTTCTTTTTAAAAAAATTTTTTTAGTTGTAGTTAGACACAATACCTTTATTTTTGTTTTTATTTTTATGTGGTGCTGAGGATCAAACCCAGCACCTCGTACATGCTAAGCGAGCACTCTACCCCTGAGCCACAACCTCAGCCCCTCAAGATTCTTTCTTAATCAATGTGATGCATGCTCATCATGATAATTTTTTTTTTTAAAAAAAGAAAAATTTCAAGATTCTTTCTTAATCAATGTGATTAAATTGGATTTGTGTTGGGAGAAAATTTCTCTTATTGTAATGATACTTCAACTTTCCATCTTATATGGCTATATGGAACACTGGAAATTCCTTCAATTTTGATACTCTTGATTAAATCCTTTTCTCTTTGGTCTGCTCTTTGGATGCAGCAATTTTTTTTAAAAGAACAGAGAATGGTAACTTTCCATCCCAACATTTAACGTCTTAAGCCTGGCAAAGAATCACCCTATGGGCTGTGCTAGGCACAAGTTGGCTAAGCTAAACCTGGCTGAGAAGACATTTTCTCCCTGAGCCAGTATGGGTCACATGAGAGCCAAAATAACAAATGGCTCCAATGGCATAATTTAAAAACATTAAATCAACTAATTATATATGAATATAGCTCTAAAATGTAAGAAAATCTCTTAAAAAAACAGAGTGTGGTAAACATTCCAAGAATTCATGAGGTACCTTTCAAAAAACAGAAGATATTTTTAGAAATCAACAAATAGAAATTCAAAGGTAACTGAAAGAACTGAGCTTCCAGGCCAGTGAGACTGGATTTTAACCAGTTAAAATACTAACACAACTTTTTTAAAAAAAAAAAAAGAAAGAAAATGTGTTGATAGAGAAGGGACATTTAAGTTTGCTACAGGCGCACAAATAAAGGAGGGACCAAAAGTGCCTGCTATGTATCAAACACTTTTTTAAGGCCAGTGAACAAAATAGGCAAAGTTCTTGTTCTCCTAGAACTTGCATTCTACTATTGACGATGCCCATTTCTAAAGAATCCTCAGCAACAGACTGCAAATCTTTTCATCCCATCAATGACACACCATTATTGTTATAAGAAAGATGCATAGGGCTACTTTTGCTTGATGACATTAAATCTTAAATTAATGTACAATTGACCTTGAACAATATGGGGGTTAGGGTCTCCCCATCCACCCGTAACAGTTAAAAATCCACATATAACTTCTGAAGCTCCAAGACTCAAGTATTAATATAGCCTTGCTGTTGTCAGGAAGCCTTACAGATAACAAATAGCTGATTAACACATTTTGCATATTATATGAACTATATAAGGTGAAAAACTTGAGAACTGTGGAAGCACTTTTACTGCAATACACAATTTTACTAGAGAGATGAACTGTTTAGAAGCAAGACCTTTTAAGTTGATACTTGAAACACTTTTACTGGAAATACATGAGCTCAGCAAAATAGCAAAAAGAAGTAGTTATAAAATTATTACAGTAGTTAAGTATTACTATAGTTATTTTTATGCAGTTATGATTTAATACTGCATCTTTACATTTATTTATACTCTCAACTGTGCATGATGTTGTATATGATCTATGAGTAATTTTATGCCTGTTTTGAAAATTTTTAAATAGATTTGTATATATTTTATGACAGTAAATTATAATACTATTATCCATAAATATTTTGTGCATTTTTGATAGACTTGTTCTTATTTTTCTATATATCTAGGCTAACACAATTGTTGATGAGTTTTTTAAACTGTGACAAATTAAAAAGAAAAAAAATCCACCTAAGTGACCCAAGCAGTTCAAACCTGCTCAATAGTTCAAACCTCTTGTTCAAAGATCAACTATAATTCCCCTAGTTCAGATTCTATGCCCATTATGTAGCCTTAAGATTTCGATGTGGGCCCTTATGTAGGCTAATCACAATAAAAGAAATCACCTATCATACAGACTATGTGCACTGGTTTCTGTGACAGCAATTCCTCATTGAATGTTGACACAGGTCCCCTGATTTATACATGTAAAGTTTCCTGAGTTTCCCTAATGCTTCCATAGGAGGAGACTCAATGTGCCAATAAATTAATTATCTAATTCCACATGCTTCAACACTAAACAACAAACCAAGGTAAACTCATTGCCAGTCTGTGAGGCATCTTTGAAGATAAACTGGCAGCTTGGTTCCCTGAGCCCTACCATGGCATTGCCCTTTTTACACTTAGAATCACAGAACTGGAGAGAGTCTCAATACCTACAATAATCAAAAAGTTCAGTAGGGGGAAACAAGATTACTACTACTTATCTGAACAACCCAGAAAAAAAAGATGGAATATCTGGTGATTAAAGAGTTATCTCCTCAGATGTGATTTCATATTTGACTTATCTTTACAACTATAACTTTTTACTCTTATTTTGGTTATTTTCATATTTGACTTATCTTTACAACTATAACTTTTTACTCTTATTTTGGTTATTTTGGGGGTTTTTGGGTGCTAAGGATCAAACTCAAACCCTGAGTTACACACTCCTACTTCAGATTTTGCCAGATTTAACACTATTTGAAAGCTGGGCAAATGGAGCATGCCTGTAATCCCAGCAACTGAGGAGCCAAAGACAGGAGCATCACAAGTATAAGGCCAGTCAGGGCAATATATTGAGACCTATCTCAAAAAAAAAAAAAAGCAAAAATAAAAATAAATAAAGCTATTTGAAAGTAGAGCATTTCATCTTAATTATTTTATCATTCCCCAATAGCCAATCATACAGTGACTTATTCATAATATTAAAATAGTTGAAGTATCAGTGAATGAATGACTATTCAGTCAATCATATATAAATGACATTTTATGCCTATAATCTGATCTACAGCATAAAGAAGACATAAACTTACTATTTTCTTGAACTCTGGCCACAAATCCCATTAAAGGTAACTGAGGAGTTACCTGTAGGATGGAGGGAGGAGGAGGAGCAAGAGATACTGCAAAAACAAAAAAGGTGTGGAGGATAAGGGGTAAGGGCAAGTTACATTAAAAGGAAAGGATAATACAATAAAATGAACATATAAAGGAGGAAAACCACTCTTCACAAACATTTTATAAGCTATCTTAAGGATCACCTTTTGAGCAATAATTCATAAACACATAAAACAAAGTATTAGGGAAGTTTATTCACCCCATCAATGACATCATCCTTGTTATGAGAAAGAAGCATGTACACCAGAAAGCATTTATCATATACAGATCTACTCTAACATATAATGGCAACTGAACTTACTGATATAATATGCCTTCTCAAAGAATTTCTACAGATTATCATAAATAATTTAAAATAAATTTAAATGTCAAAACAGGAGAAAAAAATTACATCCCAACATCTTAAATTTATACTTTGTATTACTTCAATAACAGTCTAATTAATTAAACAAATATTAACTGACTTTCTACTAAGTAGAAAGCACTCTGCTAGGAGACCAGAATCAAAACCTTTCACCAAGGGACTGGGGTTGTGGCTCAGTGGTAGAGCGCTCACCTAGTGCATAGGCCCTGGGTTCGATCCTCAGCACCACATAAAAAAATAATAATTTTTAAAAAAGGCATTGTGTCAAACCACAACTAAAATAAATAAATATTTTTTAAGAAAGCCTTTCACCGAGAGTCAGATCCTGTTATTACATTACCACCCTATAGAAAAGTACTGGCTTTATTCAAATCTTTCTACTATTCTCCCCAAGTCTTTCCCTCTATCTCAAATACTTGGCAAAGTGCCTAGTGCTAGTAAGCACTCAATAAATGCCTAACCTACACAAATGCATAAATAAGCCAGATACATCTAAATAATTTTACAAGATAAAACTCTAAATACATTTAGAGTTTCCTTCGAAAAAAGTACGAAGTATACTATGCTTCTTATAAAGACAGAATGCCTTTTATCTCCAAATTACAATCAAGACTAACAGAACTAAAAAGAGTAAATGTATTGCTGTCCTCAAAGAGACCACATCCCATTTCAGTATGGAAAACAACTGTCTTAACCTAACAATATTTGTAGTAATTCCTAGAGATGGAGATGGTGATAGTGAGGAAGTCTGTAGAAAATGATTTCTAAACAGGTACTTGAAGGAAAAGAGTTCACCAAGCAGACAGGGGTTGAGATAGAAAAATCAAACTGAGGGAACCAGGTGGACAGCAAAGGCTTAGAGCATCAAATAGCATGACCAGTTCACAGGTCCAGAAATGTTTCCATATAACTAGCTTAAGATAAAAAGAAAGATGAGTGGGTATGCAATAGGGAAGGACCCAAAGTGTAACATGAAAGAGTACACAGTGGAAACTGGGTTTTTTATTTTGTTTTGTTTTGTGGTTTATTTGCAGCACTAGGGATTGAACCCAGGGCCTCAAGTATGCTAGATAAATGCTCTACAACTTAGCTTAATCCCCAGCCTTGAGAGATTCGTTTTTAAAGTCACTCAGCCTCAAATCCTTGTGCCACCATTTCCTTGTGTTTGAACAGCATGTCAATTAATTTCTTCAGGCCTAATCTATAAATATGATATTAAAAAGAGGCAATGCAACCTTCTTCACATACTGTTGCAAAGATTAAAAAAAGAAGAAGAAAAAAAACAGGCAAGGCCTGACATACAATAAACCAAGGCAGTTCCTACAAATAGAAAGGAGAGAACTAAGTAATGGTATAGAAAAAGAATACTTGGTAACTAATGATTTAGCTAGCATATAAAAAACAGCAGCAAGATAAAGGTGATTCTTAATTTTTAGCCTTCCAGACTATGAAGGAGAAGAGGCCATTAAATACATTAACCTTGGTAAGTACATACTGGGAAAGGAATAGACTGGTGAGTAGGCAGATCAGAGAGAGAGAATAATGTGAAAAATGAGGTATATGAAGGTAACTTAAGCTTAAAAACTTGAGGCAACTGAAAATGTTAAGTTTATATTAAAAATCAAGAAGTATAAAGAATTATTAGTCATTAGTAGAGATAACATTTGATGCTATGGATAGATGCAGGGAGAACGCATATAATGCAGAGTTAAAGCAGATAATCTTGAAGAATATAGATACGAGGACAGCCATATAACCCTAGAAATTGGTTTCTTTCTTTAAAACATATCTTTAATTTGGTTTGTCCCTAAAGTCATAGTTCTAGTCATTAAATCCTTGACCTATGTATCTGTCTCCCAGTCAGAGGGTTAGGACAATTGTTGATACATTCACAATAGCATTTCTATACTTGGAGTAAGCAAAAGAGAATAAACAGAAGGTAGCAAAAACAAAATATATAAAACTGAGAAAAAGCAATAGATAACAAATAGAACTAAAAACGCAGATATTAAATGCAACTTCACATTAAATAAAATGAAGTGCTCCTCTTCTGTTAGCATACATTCCATCCTTCCTTGCAACAGAAAAGAGGGAAATTTCTCACTTATGTAATTTCTTTAGCAAGTAAAAATTTGGCCTTATGGCCTCCCCCTGCCTCCAAAATGTGTCTAATTTACAACAATTGTTTTATGGGTAGAGTTTGTTGTTGTTGTTTCCAACATAAATATGTCTTATTTATTTGCTAGATTCCAAACCACAATGCTTTGAAGAAATTCACCAAAAGCAGCCACAGAAAAATAATTCCAGATTTTCCTTAATCAGAATTACTTTAGTAAGTTACATTTTTTTCAAAGCTACTCCCACAGCAGGTTCAAAAAATCAGTTACATCTGGGGTTTGCAAAGGTCACCCTAAATTCTGTATTTTTTGCCCAACATAAACATTCAACATGGTAGTCCAAATTAACTCAAATATACCTCAGAGCATGTTCTTTCTGGACCATGTAAGATATCGTCTGACCAGAATGCCTATGAACCAAAATACGATATAACAAATCTACCTGAGACTAGATTTACCTTCCTTTGTATTTAGTTCAAAATGTATTATCCAAAGAAAATTTAAGGAGAATTTTGATACAAACAATTGTTTTCTATATTCAGGTAGGCTTCTTGTAAACAGGTAAGAATGGAAAGTAGGGACTAGGGGTATAGCTCAAAGGTAAAGGGTGTGCTTGGTATTAAGCTCAAGAACCTGGGTTGGATTTCCTACACCATTAAAAAAAAAAAAAGACAAGAATGGGAAGTAACTATAAATTTGTTTTTGTTGTTTAGCCTAGAAGATTCCTCACATAAGACTCTTTCCCTATAACCACCAAAGAACTCCAAATTTAAATTTTGTTATATTCTTTTCACAATATTCAATAATGAATTGAATGTGAAAGATAGGCTCACCAAGTAACTGGAATTTACAGAGATTTTAAGTTAAATTGCAATACAAACTATAACTATAGGCATAGAGCAACACTTACATATGATTAGTAAAAGGCTAACTATAAATAGTTAAAAGCAAACCAAACTTAGAGGATGAGCCTAAGTTGATAAAAATTTACAGACTTTCCAAGCATAACCTTCCTGTTTATTTATCAAGTCCTTTGAATGCCAGAGGCTTGGTGTTTCAAATATCCAATTAGAAGAATTTTAAAAAATGAAATTAGGCTTTTTCCTCTTATTTTTATAGCTTTACAAATACACTGAGAAAATTTAAAAATAAATACTCTAAATGCTACTACTAAAACCATTACAAAACATCATCTTTAGCAGCCACATATTAACCTTAAGAGAGCCCATTCAAATTTAGTTACTTGTATTTTACATTTCAGGCAGGGAATAATATAAGCAACCTATTTTAAGAATGAGACATTTTCAGGCTGGGGCTGGGGCTGGGGCTCAGCGGTGGAGCGCTTGCCTAGCACGTGGGAGGCCCTGGGTTCAATCCTCAGCACCACATAAAAATAAATAAAATAAAGGTAATGTGTCCAACTACAACTAAAAAATAAATATTTTTTTTAAAAAGGATGAGACATTTTCTAAAAATGAACAATAATTTAAACAAGGGGAATTTAAAAGTGTACTTAAGTGATCAGTAAGAAGGGCTTCACTGATGATGCCAAGACTATAGTTACCAAATAACTATCAGTCTATTAGTCTCAAAGTTAATAGTATTGGATCATTTTTATTATTTTTTCAAATGAAAAAAAAAATCACCATATGATACTATGCCAAGAAAATCTAGAAGATCAAGACACATCATTTAAAAATATAATTTGTTTTTTGTTTTGTTTTTGGTACTGGGGATTGAACACAGGGGTGCTTTACCCCTAGTCCATTTTATTTTTTATTTTGAGATAGGGTCTTGCTGAATTGTTTAGAGCCTCACTAAGGTGCTGAGGCTGGCCCTGAACTTGCGATCCTCCTGCCTCAGCCTCCAAAGTTGCTGAGCTTAAAGGCATGAAACACCACACTCAACGAATTTCTGTTTAATATTCAATGTAAAATATCCATTTAATTACTTGGTTATCTAAAACTATACTTAAAACTCATCATATACACACACACACACACACACACATAGGATATATAAGTAAATATTCCTAACAAACCCTAAAGATTGCTTAAAATAAGATTTAAAAATCTTATTTTGGGGGGCTGGGGATGTGGCTCAAGTGGTAGCGCGCTCGCCTGGCATGCGTGCGGCCCGGGTTCAATCCTCAGCACCACATACAAACAAAGATGCTGTGTCCGCCGAGAACTAAAAAATAAATATTAAAAAATTCTCTCTCTCTCTCTCTCTCTTTAAAAAAAAATAGCTTCTTGCTACTGCTCCTTATTTAGAGTTTACTAAAACCCCACCACAACTGTATTCTTCTGAAGATATATGGTAATGCTATAACTTTACTCATCGTTTAGAGAACATTTCTTTTGGAATATTTCCATCCCAACTTTGTTTTTTCACTGTCTCATTTTAGTGGCTTATAATAATAGTCAGGAATTAGTCTGACATTTTCTCTTTGTAAAACAGCATACACAGTCTCTAGCAAATCTAATTATATAAATATAAATTCCTCTTGCAGTTTATGAACTGA